AGAAGTCTATTACCATCACGATTACCACATCCTTATGCATTATACTAATCATGATGATAATAATATTCATGACACACATTAGCATCTTCATTGACATGATAATGCGTACTAGAACTACCTCAAACATCCACAACAACAAAAAATCCATCTAGAAATTAATGTTTTCAGTTAAAAATGTATTTGGCTAGTCAATTTTTTGTGTAGTGGCATCGGGCCCAACTCTTTGGTATCCTATCTATGTAGATATCATCCATAAGTTAGAAGCGATATTTATAGATTCATAATCTCATAGTCTTTGTTTGGGAGCTATCGGTTAATGATAATAGTATTTTAATAAAAACGTTTTTCGTGAAGGGAAAAATATGAAATCTACCATTTTATTTCAATTTTTTATGAAATTTATGATAGTTTTTAAATCTTGTGTAGTCTACCACACATACTAAATGAAATGACAAAGTTTTAAAATTTCCATTGGTAATAGTGTCCACTAAAATACATGCATGTTCATTATCTGTCATAGTGGACAACTTCCACGCATAACATAGGTTCACTATATATTATAGCGAACAACTTCCACGCGTAACACAGGTTCACAAGTTGTCCACTCGGTCGTTTCTTCAGGCTACACAGACATTTGGACATTCACATATTCTAATATTCATGTAGTAAACAGAAAGATTACTTAGTTTTGGATACGTAGACGATAAATAATCGGTAGAGACAAATACAAACTTCAAAAGTGTTGTGATTCTCGTCCACAAAATTTGTAGATTCTTAATGTTTAATCAGTTATTCTTGTTCACCAATCAAGTCTATCATAATCTACCACCATTTAGTGTACTTAATATCAAAGGTAGAAGCGTCTTTTTCTTTTCGTTGTATAGTATTTTATTGTAGATTTTATAAGCAACTAGATAGTTACCCGCGTTATACGCGTGACAATGTGATACGTTAGTAAAATCAATATATTTTTAGTTTAAAAGTATCTATAGTTATTGGAAAGATTATTATACGAAATCTAAAATTCGTTTATATATATGAATTTTGCAATGATTTTGTATAGAAATATATCCATCCGTAAAATAATTGAAAACAACAACTTTTATATCACTTATTAATAAAATATATTTATTTAATATCATAATCTTCAAAAATATGGTTTATAACTCAAATATACAAAATAAAAGATTGCAAATAGGAATTAAAGTTTATAATTTTAAGGTAATTATAAGAGTAAGTAAATATTTATAGTAAATTTTCTTTTATTTTCGTTTTAAAAAANAAANNAAAAAAAAAAATTCTAATGATATTTGGTTGGAAAGATTGTGTGATTGTGTAGTGTTTGGATAATAAGATAATAGATAATTATTAGGATTGAGGAATGTTTGGGTAGGAGTATAGTAGAGAATTAATAATAAAATTTAATTTTTAATTAAAAAACTTCAAAAAAATTAAGAATTTGACACTTAAGCAAATTAATCCAAAATTGCTATATATAGAGGATTATGACAAGTGATATTTTCCACAAGAAATTAAAACATAAATGGTAGATTTTATAATATTCTCTTTCGTGAAATACACTAACTAGGTTCTTTATATGGAGGAAAAAAAAAAGATTACACGTGATTTTTATTAGGTTTTTATAAATTTTATTTTATTACTAGATTAAAGGACCCGAATATATATGGATTTATAATTTAATATTTTCTAAACATAGATCACCCGTTAAAATAAAAGCAAGAACATTGTTCCAGAACTATTGATTGAAAACCATAACAATTATTTATTAATTTTGATGTTTTTTATTTGATTTACAAATAAATTTTATCATATATTTTCAATTATTAGTTTCTCTTATTCCACTTAAATTAGATATACCTTTTTAATTTCTTTTTACTATATTATTACTCAAATATCTATTTTTAAAATGTTGATGATTTTATCCTTAAATTGATATCGCTGAAAGATTTTTGAGAAATTTCGAGAAATACCACTATTGAAATGATACTTTTCAAAACTCCCACATTTTAAAAATCTTATAGAATGTGAAAACGGAATACGAAAGACAAAATTATGTCAATCCATAAAGTAATAAAATAAGATTGTGAACCTCAATAAAAAATCACTTATAGAAAAATCTTTAAAATATTTATCTATTTTATTCTCATATTTTATTTCTTATATTATTTGAATTTTAGTTAAATTATATCACATATTTTCAAATAATTAGATTTTTCTAATCTTATTTAAGTTAGGTTTATTTTTTTCACATAAATAAAAATATTACTATTTTAAAACAGGCAAAACTTTCGATATGTGGCTACATCTGATTCAAAGAATTCTCTTACACTTGTATTAATATGATTGATTGACTCATGCATGTCTCTATAAGATTAATTACAAATCAGACGAATCAACAAAATTTCAAAATAAGTTGTTTTACCTTTTTAATATATTAGAATCTGTAAAAAACCAAATAAAAAATGGGAAACTATATTAGATTACCCTATAAAAATAAAAATAAAATTAGATTGAAAACGTTGGTATGTAACAATTAACAGAGAAACCTACCAATTATTTATCTCATTTAATTCTTTTAGTTTTTAATTTGATTTTTAATTCAATTTTATTACATATTTCTAGATAATTAGTTTTTCTATTCTTATTAGAATTACTTTGAGTTTTAATATTTTACAAATGATGATATTTGGTTATTTTGATTATAGATAAAAATTCTTTTGACACATAGCTAAATTTAATAGGAGGTTAACTTTTTATTATTTTATAGATAATGATATTTTGATATTTTAAATTGTTTTTTCTTGCACGCGGTTAAATCTTATTGAAATAGTTTTTACACGTACTAAAATTTGTTAAATAATTGATATTGATATTTTGGGCTAGAGTGGTCATTGTTTCAGTGATGATATCTATGATGTAAATAAAACAAAAATTAAGTTAGAAAAAAATCGTATTAAGCTCAGAAAACTAATATAGTTTGTTGTATCATATTATTCCTATTGAGTAAAATAGTAATCATTGTTTTCCTGATGAAAATGGTGAAACAATTTTTTTGTAAAAGATTATTGAAATTTTAAATTGTTGGTGAAAAAATGAAAAAAACACAAAAGTGTTTAAATAAAAGTGAAATATCATAATACTTGAAGATTTGGGTATACAAACTTAAGTCAATTCAAACTTAAAAGATTTTAACACGTATTTTAGAATAATCCAATTAGAAAAGGTATTTGATTTATTGTCTTATCTATTTCTATTTTAAATCAAAATATCTAATTAATAATTACAAATATATAAGTTTTTATTTAAAAAAAAAATTGTTTCATATGTGGCAAAATCTCATTGGAATT